CTGCCTTTCTTTTTATTATGGCTTGAGAAAGTAAAATATGGCAGCAGTTTTCTTGCTGAATGGCAACTTTGTACGGTGACCTCATAACTTGATTTGGAGAATATTACACAGTCGTTCTTATCCAAAAAGAATCCTAGATATTCAGTTTTGAAACACTGGTCACAGGATCTCTCAGGGCAGTGTATCAGCCTTCTGCATCCATGTTATTTAATTATGTTCTATTCCTGGTTGATTTCCATCTATTCAAGCCTAATCTATTTTTCTCTCAAGCTCCAGAACATGACACTTGTGAAGTTCTCACCACTGGAGAATTTATTCTGCTACCTCTTTGCTTGGCCTCTTAGGGGCTGCGGTGTGGCCAAAGTCAATTCCCCCTCTCAGATTAAAGGAGTATCTTCAAGTGCCAATCCAAATGGTGATAAAAAAAGCTTTTTAATCCATTGAGAAAGTTTCCCAGCGTTACCCCCCAGAGTCCCGGCATCAGGCGTTGCTGCACTCAGGCTGTGTCTGGACAGTGTTGAAGCCCAAGTGTATCTTCCTGCACCCTGACAGAGAGAGGGAAAGGCTCAAAAAGCCCCCCTTCTGCAGCTCACTTGACCAGGTCTCTTTGATAACATCTGGCAGGGGCAGGATTGCACCAGTGACAGCATGAGATGGACAAACATTAAAGTCCTCTCACTCACAGCTCCACATCATTTGACACACAGAGCCTCAATCTCATATGCCCGAGTGTCACTGATGATCTCTCTTTGTTACGGGTCTGATGATATTTTCCAGCAAGAGTGCCAATAAGAGGTGACTTGGCATGGCTTATTTTTATTGTGAACTCAAAAGGTCACTGATACTGTCTTTGCTAAAGTTTTTGTGTGTTTCTTTGACTACAGAAGAACAAAACCCCAAGTGGGTCGGCAACTTTTTGCTTAAACATTCTTTGTAAAAGGGGAGTTGTAGGGTTTATTTAAGCATGACATCTGTTGAACGGGGTGGGCTGGAAAAGACGCTGGGCCACCTTTGTTCTCGTGAAAGAGACTGGAAGCAGTTTGGTGGGGGAAAGAAGAGTTTCAACACAGTTATCCCAGAGAGGCTCAGATCAGTTCAACATCCATTCTTCTCCATTTTCTTTTTGTTTACTTCTAGGTTCATGAGTTTACATGCCAATTCCATTACAGGGATTAAAATAGTTTGTCCAATCTATCCTCAGACTTTGCTTCCCTTGTCTGTCTGCCTCCCTGAACCCCCCACACCACTTACAGACTTTTAGGTCTCAAGGCTGGGTTAGGGGATTACAGGACAAGCAACCCTCAGCCCGAGAACCCAAAGAAACACGAGGCAGCTGTGCTGAAGAATGTTCCAGTGAGAAATCCAAGCATTAGCAGTGAAAGCTGAGGTTTGATCAATGGCTGTGGCGCGTGTCTGCACTAGTGAGCACTTTGCAGAGCCTCTGAGGTAGAAAAAAAGAGAAAATTAAGGTGTGTTATGACATCAGGCTGGAGGTCTAGGTGCTCGGGTCACCTTTGAGCCGCTGCTGATTAAGGGCTGGTGTTCACAGGTGAGCAGCTCCGAGCAGGATTTAGTGACACAGGTAGGTGAAATCACTCCACTCTCCCAGCTTACGTTAAAACAGCAAAGCTGCTGACCTTTCCCCACAAATAGCTGCAGGCAAATGTCAGAAGATAAGTGAGCTCTTTGACCTGCTCAGTTTAGTCAAAGAAAAGAAAAACAGGGTGAACTTTCCATGCAACTTCTACCTTCCTCAATAGATGTTCGCGCTACCAGAATGCTGATGTTTTTACATGCCTGAATTTGACATTTCGGGACTTTTTTGCCATCTATAGAAAACTTTGGACTCAGAGGTGCAAGCAGTGGGAAAGCTCCTCACTGACTACCTGTGGTTCTAAGCCGCCCACATTTGATAATCTCCTTCGTATCTGAGGAGCTCAAAGAGGTTAAACCCAGTCAACAGCTTGGAATGGGCATCCACCACATTACTTGCACTCAAGACAGTTTTGAAAGTTAACCTTTCAGTCCACTTTAGGGTGACTTGTGGTGTATTTTGGATTTTAAAAAATCTCACCTTTAATGTAAAAGGATCACAAAGAATATAGTAGAATATTTTTTAAAGTTTGAATATATGTGTGTTCATACCCATACGATGAGTATGAGTAAAAAATATTCTACATAGTAATAATAATAATAATAATAATAAAGATCTTAGAGCTTTACTGAGACAACTGTTTTTTAATCATCTAAAAAAAATGAAATCCACTCTCATGCAGGCAAATAACATACTTTACATCTATCATATCTGACAGGTGACGTGTGCTTGAACTGTTTAACTTTTCTTTTTTCACTGGTACAGGATGGATTGAGTTTTATCTTATCTGTCCAAAATAAATTGCGCCATAATTCAGGTTTTGTTTTTATTTTTTTCCGCTTGTTTGTGTTTACTTCACTAGTTTGAAGCTTATCTTCTGTTTAAAACTTGCAATACAAAGTCATGCTGGTGTAATCTTGTTTTGATGGATGAGACAACCACAGGTTACGTACATCACCCTGATGCAGCCTTATACGTCTTTGTATCTTTTGACCTCACAGAAACATCCTGTCCATTGTTAATTCACCTAAAAACACCGAGAGGATTATTATGTTGGAATTTCCACCCGCACATTAAATAAACTGTCGAGAAGGAAACACACTCTTTTTGTTGGTTTGTCTTTTTTTTTTTTTTTTTTTTTTTTGCTTTAATTAATCATAAAACCTAAAGTCAAATAGGACTGAATCTCTGAATGGCAATCAACATGATGAAGAGGGCTTAAGGACTTGAGAGGAACCAGTTTAATAGCAAAAACATCTCTAAAAGGGCAATCTGTAAGATTATTCGTTTAAAAACTAATAAAAAAAAGTAAAGAATTTAAAGCTATTAACAATATGGAAAAGATGTTTGTGTTGCATTACAGACATTGTATCAGCACGGACTCATATCATTCCACAATGCAACTTTTAACTCAAGATGTGATATAATGTACCATCCAGTATTTACTTAGTCTATCATGAGAGAGGGAATTATTAGTGTGTATTATTCTGACATGCTGTCAATCTTAATGTAAGACAGGAAGTGAATCAGAAAACTGGATTAATGTGAAAGCCATCCAGCTATAAAGTCTGTTTTAGCCTAGCACCACTTACTGCACACAAGCTTCTGATTTCTATGCTGTGGTAGTACTTGTTGATAGAAGACTGGATGCTCTCCATGCACCTTAGAAATCAAAGAAATCGAAAATAAGGAGGCAGAATAGCACTCCTAAATATCCAGAGTGACCGCAGTGGATTTTTTTTGTAAAACAATACAACAACCCCTTCCTAATTCTACCATGCACAGCTTTACAAAGCAGTTTTACAGTCTAAAACTCATCCTGCACCAATGTGTGATACACAGTACATCACATGCAATTTTAACAATACTGCAACTCAGTGGGGAACCACAACCAAATGAATGCAGGTGAATCTTTTTTTTTTTTAACAACAGGAAGTTTTAAGTTACATTATACAAAGAATAATACAGTAACTGTAGTACTGTAGTAAAACTGAAACTGCACGACCTATCTGACACTCATCTATGCATTCTAACTCTTGCCAACCCTACAAACCTGTAATATTAAATATAGACTCTTGGGCACTGGTGTGATTATTCAAGCTGTTAAATCTTCAGTTAAAAGTGGTTAAATATGGATCAAAAAAGAAAAAAAGAAAAAAAAACAGGAAAGAAAAAAAAGCTCTAAGTCTGACGAAAAATAAATGAGCAAGGTCTCATCAAAAAGACAAAATGCACATGTATACAGTGCATAATGCTGGAAGACTAAAATCTGGGAAAGAACAAGTGGAGATAATATTTATTAAGACTGCAAACAAACTAAAACAAATCTGTAATGTTTCTGGCACATTTTAAATGCTTTTTAAACATATACAGGAGCAGAAACGTTTTAGTCATAACACGGGGAAACGGATTTTTATCTTTTTAAGCAGCGGTTCGCCAAACGGAATCCTTCAAGGAATAATTTCAGTCATACTTTAAAAAAAACAGGACTGAAAAGAACATTATGGCTGAATTTAGATCTTTTTTAGTACGTGGTATTAATTGTGATTATCTGCTTTATTAATATCATTTTCTTTATCACCGTTCCACATCCGTAGTTCTAAAACGACAGTCATTTTAAAATCATTCAGACAGATGGCCCACTGTGGGGTTAGGCAGTGATTGAAATGTTACACAAGTACATAACACGGTGATACCAGTCATATAAAATGTCTATATGTTAAATGAACCCTCTACTAAGTTTAAAGAGCAGTCATGAAGTTCCGTGAAACCCCTCATCAAAAGCACTATCGAAACATGGATCCACGGCATGCGATCGTGGAATAATTTCAAATGACGATAACAATAAGAAGTGCAAGAGGCAGAAAAGCTATTTTGTAAAGTTGTACATTAGTGGGAACACATCGCTTATATCGGGGAAGCCAATCACTTTGAATACATTTCATAAATTTTGATGAAGGATTAAAGAAAAAGCCTTTAACCAATAAAAATGTACGCACGTGGCCACGTGTATATATATATGTATTTTTTAATAATTAAATATGCATAGCATTTTTAAAGTAGACCAGTTGTTTACATCTGCAGGTACGCAAGGCGTTTATTTATTTATTTATTTTAGGTTAGGTCACTAACACGTTGCATATGGAGACTTACCGGGCATTTGACCCGCTGGGCGTTATTTAAAGACAAAATGCAAAGTTTCACATAGTGAAAAGGGGGGGAAAAGCGCAGTGAGTTGTCTTTATTTAAAGTGGAGGAGGAGGAGGAGGAGGAGAGAAGGGGGGGTTATCCAAGGTGTTTGAGACAGATGAGGGAGGTGGGGGTCGTGGAGGAAGGAGGAAGGAGGAGGCAGAGAGGGTAAATTGGGCGGACACATAAAAACTGCAAGGGGCCATAGATGCTGGATCATTTGAAAGCCTGCCGTCCTGCGCGCCGATCGCCCTAGTGAGCCGCACTGGAGACGAATAAGAAGCCCCGCTGCAGAGCCCGAGCGCCGGCCTTCACTCCTCTTGTCCGTTCTGAGGTGTCGCTAAAGGATTAATGAGCCAAAAAGGCGCATAATTTCTCCTTTAAGGCACATTTCGGCTTTTTTTCGGCGTTACGCCTGGACTGCCTTACACCTTCCCTTTCATATTCACTTCATTCGAGGATACCTGTACCTCTACTGATGGTAAGCGCTCACCAAACGACACATTTAGACTACACACATCAAAGAGTCAACAGCGAAACTTAAAAAAAAAACAACAACAACAGCAACAACATACAGACACACACATCTTTGAGCAAGAGAGGCTCTCGCTGAAGTGTTGTTACTTTAAGTTTGGGTCTCTCCTTTGTGCGCATTTAAGCGACTCCGCTGAGAGTTTAAACACCGTTCCGGGATAAATGCGCGAGAATAAAATGGGCATAAAAAACACTCACAGCGCGCGGAACTCATTCAAAAACCGATATAAAAGTGCATTTTGGAACGAATGGCGCTGTGATCATGGCCAAACAAGTAACAGGTTATTGTGCCCGAGACTTGAGCCGATGACAAATCAAGATGAGGTCATGTCCAAACACAGCGTCAGATTTTGCTGTTCTGTTTTTTTATGTCTTTCATTGAAATCGCCAGCGTTGCGCACGTGTATGCATTTTATAATTCAGTTTAACACTGATTAAACATCTGTAACTGCTTCTTGTCATCCAAGTATGAAGGCTCGTATGAACGATGGAGGTTGACAGATCAGAGATGAGCGATAATGAAAATAAGTTGGGGGGTTTCTCGCAAAAGATGAAGTTCATTTCATTTTACCGCACGGGTTTTGAACAATAATTGACGCATAATTGCGCCAGGTGACCGAGCTGATGTCCAGTAATGACATAATGCTTGCGAAAACATGAAATGCTAATACATTACAGCTGCAGAGTCTTGCAGATGTGAGTCCGGTTTGTTGTCCACTCACGTGTTTTTCATCTGTTTGCAACAAGTCGTTGTAAAGATAAATCCTGTCATTTAATCCGGTAAAACTGCAGCAGGGAAAATTGCGGCCTGCGGACGCCCGGTCTCCTTGGCACTCAGTTTAGTTTGCAACTCAAATTCATCTCGTGAACTGCAGAGGAGCAGAATGGCCAAATAAATTAATTTTAGAATTACTTTTACACACACACACACACACACACACACACACACACACACACACACACACACACACACACACACACATATATATTATATATAAAGAAGTCACATGTCACTTCTGGTGATGGCTTTAATTTTTTTCGGTCATTTTCCTTTTCAGCCTCCGTCTGATTGTTCTGGGTTTTCCGTTATTAACGCACAATTAACAACACACTTTTTTTTTTAATTTAAAAGAAAAAACGTGCCATTGACACTTTCCCCTTTATTTTTCAATAAAAGGAAAAAAACCCGACAGGATACATCAAAAAATCCCACACACCTCATCTTTTCCCTCAGACTTTTTGCCTTTCGTTTATAATGCCAGAGAAACATCATTGTATGTTGTAATTTCGAGCTTGAGAAATTTAAAAAATATCCCAACCTGCACATAAAATATAGAATTTTCTTAGGCTGACTGGTTAAATATTATTATTTAGCTTTGTTAATTTGGTTACTACAAAGCAAAAAAAAAAAAAAGACAAGAAAAAAAAAGAAAAAGTGTTTGACATTTGGGGTTGTGTGTGTGTGTGTTTTCTTTACCTATTGCTCATTCCAAGAACATGGCATTATTTTGGGACTACCATTCAAAGACATAAATGTCTTCTAATTATACAGGCAGCAACCGGAATTAAGCATAGACATTGCCACTGATCAATCAATAAGTAGAACCCTGTGACTAAAATGATAAAATCACTGTTCCACAGTGACCTGTTGCTCTCCTCCCTCTCTCCCTCCCTCATTCCCATCCTCCCTCCCACCATCACTGTCAAATTCCTCAGGAAACACATCTGAAGAGCCATGTGCATAGTCTGATCACATTATCTCTGGTCAGAGAGAGACAGAGAGAGAGAGAGAGAACGAATGAGAGAGGCCAAGGGGGATCAAGCAAAGCCAAGGGCAGTTTGACTGCTGCAGCCTAATTGCAGCCTGGTCTGCAACGGTTGCTGCAAAATGTATTTCTGTCACTTTGTGGAAAGCTTTTCTGTGTGTCCAGCTTTGTTTTATAATCTCATGTTGTTTTCGTTTGTTTGATTGAGAGGGCAATAAATGACTGCACGTTTATGATGAGTGCAGAGGTGTGGGTGGCGATTTTTTTGCTGCTGTTGTTGTTTTTTTAAGAATTTGGTGTAAAACTATTTCTTATCGCTCTTGGTGAAAACAGGCCAGTAAACACGAGCACACTGGCTTGAGAGACACAGAGCTGAGCGTTACTCCCTGTCTGCCTTACATCTTCTTTCATCATCATCACACCATTTTGAGTGTCTGTCTGTTTTAGCCTGCAGCTTTGTCAGTGGCTGGTTACAGTTACAAGATGTTCTGTATGGTCAGTGTTTTTGAGTGCTATGAATCCCTGTAATCATGGGAGAGGCCCTCTCTGTACAATGAACGTTTGTTGTCAGAGATGTACACACACACAGACTCTCTCACACACACACATTTATCCCCTCACCCCATGGGTAATAGAGCTGATCATGTTCTGAATCCTCCTCACTCTTTTTGCTGCAGTTCTCACGAACATGCAAATGGTGGCACACACTTATGCGGACACGCACGTCAATGCATGCGCTGCGTTTTGCAGTCGTGCGTGCGCACACTGCATGTCACCCTCTCTTCTTGCACAGTGGATCTTGTGTCATGACCGAGAAAAGGAGGGTCAAACCGAGGTCAAAGTCTAATACCGTTAGGGAAATAGATCCTAGATTGCATGTATAGTGAGGCATGCAGGAGGCAAGTTAATCACATAGATATGAAGCCAGGCATGCTAGCAAGCTGAAAAACACAAACTGTATGTGACACACGCACACACACGCAGATAGAGTGTGAGCTAATATGCTTCCTCACTGTGCAGTAATTCTTGGTTGTGCTCCAGTGGAACAAGATCCAAATGATGACCGAAGCCTTGTGTCACTTTGGAGTGTTTGTTCCATGATGCTGTTGTTGTGGTCACTTAAAATTCAGTAACCTTGTTAGTGCGATTCAGCAGCACTTAACACTTCAAATGAGGTGTACAAACTGAATCATTTGATCCATGTTGTTCTTGTTAAACCTGCCTGTTAAAGCTCTGACTTTTCCCTTTTTGGAAAGTGGTTCTTTTTTGTGTGTGGAAGTGTTATATATATATATTTTTAAATTAGTCTTCTAGAAGCACATTCTGCTCAGTATATCATGCGTACATCAGTGGTGAATGTACTACTGTATGTACAGTGTTATCAAAGTAGAGAAGTCCTGCCATCAGAGTCACAACCCATGCGAGCTCTAAAATGGAAGAGAAGCTCTTCTAAGAAGAATCTGTTTAGTTCCTTGTCTAAAATAGGTCAACTCAGTCGCTTGGAGGGGTAAAGGCTGAGTGGGTTTTCAGTTTTAGTAAACCAACAGCCCTCTTATCTTGAATAAAGAGTTTGCTAATTGTGATCAGACTTGTTTTGTGCTCTGTGGGTTCTGACGTTTTTCTGTTGAACCTGGCGCTAATCAGATTTTTAGCTTGTCATTAATGTAAAGTAGGAAGCTGCTTTTCAAATGGGTGTCTCTGAAATAGATGTAAGCATTGAATAAGTTGTATTTTCTTACCAAGGTGGGTGTCAAGCATTAGGTATCTGCTGTCTGTGTTGTAGCACATGCCTACTTACATTCCACTTACAGCAAATAGCTAGCTTACCCACCAGCCAAAATGATAAGCCTTAAAGAGACACTGGGTCTCTCTCTCACCAATAAACACACACATACACAAGCTCCTGTGCTACTCTTTGAAGAAATGCCATGTAACAACCTCAAGTGTTTGCAAGTGTCAGTTCACAATATCCCTGTGTTTTTTGCCTTCATCTTTCAGGAACAGGGTCACTTCAAAGTTCTCCTGCAGCCACCCAACGCCACCTGACATTTCCTAGAAGAACGGGTCCATTGCCTGCTCCCAACAAACATGGACTGTTTCCCCATGCTTTATTTTCTGTCGGTAAGTAAGTGGGCCATGCCATTTAAATTTGCGGCATGTGACACGCTGCTAAATCTTGCATCTCCCTTCTCTCTGTCTGCTGACTCACTCATTTATGTGGCGTCTATCCAGACTTGGACTGAAGGTCCCTAAGGGGTGTTGGGCGAGCCACGTGCCTGAGAAAGAGCTTTTTCTTATAAGTGTGTGGCACAATGTCCCAGGTTTGGGCCATGGTTTGTTTGAGCAGAATGTCTTAAGACCGAGACTTTTTATCAAGTTAAGAATTTGCTTAGACCCCAGGGCTGCCTCTTTTATTTGTCTAATTATAGTGGAGGAGACAAGGAGGAAGGGAGATAGTGGGGAGGAATGGCCCTGAGATTCCATTCAAAAAAAAAAAAAAGATGGGTTCTTGAGCTAGCTGTTTACCTTTGGAGGATAAAGATAAACTCTAAATGGTCTATCTGATCGGAGACTACTTTACTGTAAACAAGGCAGACTGGACTATTGAAACTAATTAGTCTGCCTTTAGTGGGAACATTTATACAAGAGAAAATAATGGTGTTTTGGATGGAGGGTAAGACAAATCTTATAGCTGCCTTTATATCTGCTCTATTTAGCCCTTTTTTTAATCATTTATCTTCCTGTTCCATCTGCTGCTCTCACCAGAGACATCATGATTCCTGGTAATCGAATGCTGATGGTCATTTTAATATGCCAAGTCCTGCTGGGAGAGAGCAACCATGCTAGTCTGATACCTGAAGAAGGAAAAAAGAAAGTACCTGGCCTGCAGGGTCGTTCGGCCGCTCAAAGCCATGAACTGTTGCGGGACTTTGAGGCCACACTGCTGCATATGTTCGGCCTCAAAAGGCGGCCGCGGCCCAGTCGTTCAGCCACTGTGCCCCGCTACCTGCTGGACCTTTATCGGCTACAGTCGGGTGAGGCTGAGGAGGCCGGAGCGCACGACATTGCTTTTGAGTACCCAGAAAGGTCAGCCAGTCGGGCCAACACTGTGAGGGGCTTCCACCATGAAGGTAAGCAAACACATGAACTCCAGAAAAACAATTTTAAGGAGCACAAAACTGAAAGAAGGAATGTCATTAGTAGGAGGAGAGATGATAAATACAAGTGTCAGCACACAAACCATTACACCACTCTTACAGCAAGGTCGCTGTTGCCAAGCATTCCAATAGTTTTGGTGGTAATGCAGTGCGCTGGCATGGGTGAGGTTTGCTTAGTATTCGGGGTTTTAAAAAAAGCACATTTCCGACATCCCTTGAAACATGATTGTAAGAGTGCTCCACCCATCTCACCATAACCAAGGAATCTAAGGATGTGGTCACCAAACACTGTCTACAGAGGGGCAAAAAAAAAATCTGCTAGACAAGCTCTCAAGAGCCTAATTTGACAAAGCTCTGTGTGTTTGGTTAGCAGCTGAAGTAAAAGCATACCTCCATATTACTGACTTACACTTCTCACCCCACCCAGGAGAACACGGCTTTAAAAAGCCCGTTCTTGGACGGGAATTGTAGTGTGCTCCTCTCTCATGTCTCCAGTTTATATGGAGGGCTCTTTTAGAAGGACCTTCTTCAACGTACAATTATCTTTAATGCTACTCTGCAGACTTCTAAATAAAGCCCCTACTGCCAACAATGTGGGTGCTGAGAGCAGATGCTCGCAACTCTTTGGCGAGATGGAAAAATGGCCTCAAAAAGCTGGTGTGATAGACAGAGTGGAACATTAGAAGGGTTTCTGTTTATTGTGACTGGTCCGTTTTAGTATCAAATGCAGAGGTTTCTCTGGGCTTGGAGAAAGTCCAGTTTGAGTGATCTGTGAAACGTAAGCTTAGTTTGAAAAGATAATGTGTTTGGAAAAGAAAGAAAATGATGTATCACTGTTAGTCAGCAAGGAACTCAATTGTACCATGGATAACTGAGAAAACTGGGAATAATTTATGGATAGAGAGGGGAGTGAGGAAGGAGGGATGAGTCAGCCTTGCCAGACGTGTTGCTAAGGTAGCGCACGGCCACATGAACTCAAATGGTAGCGTAGCAAGGCTAGCAAGAAAAGGAAGCGCACCACCGCTAGTACAGGAACTTCTGCATATGATGCAATGTGAACACGCGCACATGTGTGCTTGTGCATCGGTTTCTACTCCTCTACAAGCATTTACCCTTCTTCTGATTTACTAAACTATGTTAATAATATGCTCTGAAGCCTTAAGAGTGGCAGTTCTCGCTTTCATGGCAGCGCCATTGTGTGATGGTATGACTCAGTTAAATGATCTGTCCAAAACATAGGGAGGCACTGCAGCCTGCAGCAGATGGATGATTATGTGAAGAGACATGTTTATAGGCAGGTTAAACTGTGTAACCTCTAACCTTGAATTCAGATGGCACGTTTATTGACTGGGTCTAATTGATGGCATCTCTTTGTTTTACACAAGTTACGAAGTGTGTTAGTGCCCACTTCAAATCTGATTTGGTTGAGGATTTGAATACGCACCGCGTCTTCTCGCAACACCTCCTTTCCCACTGGCTTCAGATAAATGAGATTCTCCTGTACTGTCTGACTCCTTAATGATTATTCATGATGAAAATGATAAATGTCTTAAGTGAATAAACTGCAGAGCTAATCAAAAACACAGCAGGTTTTAATAATGAGAACCACCTGGGTAAGATTAGGGCCTGGGTGTGAAATAACAGGGGTGGATTGAGCAGGAAAATAGTAGACACAACATTCCTTTCCCCAACAATGATGATCTTGCCAGAAATCTGCAGACTGTGCGTGGAATAGGGAGCCTCCACTGTGTTTATACTGTAGCTGTGGTACGTTAATCACCACCCTCCTTGTAATGCATGTTTCAGCAAAGTGCTCAGAGAAAGGCATTGAAAGAAGGGCAGGATAATCCTTAAAGATAGATAAGAAAACACGGACGATATACATTTATATTCTTGAATACCCTGGAGGCCTTTCAAAGTAAACATATTTCCAGTGTACAAAATTATATCTTTATACAAAGAAATGATTTTATATCTAATCATTTTTAAGAAAGCATACAATGCTTGCACAGTATACAAAAAAAAACTGAGTGCACCCCTGTTCAAAATCCTTTAAATGTGATGAGTCAAAATAATTCCAAAAAATCCTAAATAATACAGCTGAAGTACAATACACACCTGTGATCACTGATAAACCTAATACCCGAAACAAAAAATGAGTATACTTGTGATTTCCAATTAGGCTACATGTATTTACTGTCTGTTTGAGCCTCTATATGAAAAAAGAATTGCCAGAAGAATTGAAAAAATATGATTGTGAGACTTCACAAACACACTTAAACGTTCGTAATTAGGGGCTATAAACCACCGCTACAGCCACAGTGCCCACCTCCTAAAATGACACCAGGGACAGAGAGCTGCTTGCACAATCTAGCATCAGACTTGTCCAGAGAAATGATGCATGCCAGTAAAAAACAAAAAAAGAACAAAACAACAACCTTGCTGGCTCTCCAGCACAGATCTCCAAGACTGAACTTGGTGCATATCGCAGTGATGATTTTGGGAGCATATTATTTGGTTAGATAAATCCAGGATAAACAATTTCTGGAGAAATTGCATTGTAATTGCTGAAAGTTGCTGCAGCCCTTCTGCACACGCATCCAGCAACAGGCTGGGATCAGAACAAACCGTTCAACCCTGTGGTTAGTGGACAATCTTACTTTACCGCCTGAGCCATGGCAGCCACAAAGATATTCACCAGAGTTCTTCATGTTTAACTTTCTCTGAGTTTGCTGCACAGAGTGCCATTAAAAGAAAAACACATAAGATGCTTAAGGCATACTAATATTGATCAGTCATTTAAACTGCAGTCGGCATAAACCTGAAAAAGCAAAGACAAAAAACTACAATGCACTGCTATCCTGCAGGTCTCACTCTCCATCCTAAGTGCGTTCCCAACAGATAAGCACAGCACTTTCCGCTGAGTAATATTTAACTGACACGTCAAACCCTTTTGTTAAACGTGAAAGCCTTTTCTAACCCATTCATCTCCGACATACTACCACTGTTATCACTGCTGTCTTCATACAACGTTACCTTACCTGAGCAGGTTAGAAAGATGTGACTCGCCAAACTCTGCTATCACATCCTTTGACTCTCAGGGATTCCTCGTAGGTTTAGTAGTGACACTAAACAACAAAGATCCACCAAACAAAATCACCAAAAACATTGAAAGACTGATGTGGTGGGAACCAAACTCGGAAATCTTTGCACCCTAAAGTGACACTTTGATGCCACATGCGCTTTTCAAAGAGCTGTCAAGGTGCCTCACTCTTTAACTTTACAACTTCGCAGAACCTGCATTTGTCTGAAGAAAAATCGCATTCTGTCTGCTTATTGTGGTTACTTTGCAGAAAGATGCTGGAAAAGTGCTGCCTACCCTAGCTTCAAAACCTAGTAACATTCATTTCATCCTGTCACTGGCAACTGGCAACTGGCAATAACAGGATTATGCTAGAACTCACTGATACTGATATAAATATTACAGAAAAAGTATAAAATGTAAATCTTGGTAGTCAAACACGTAGTGACTTTTGATAACATATAAAAGTAAACATTCTGCTGTTTAACTGAGGAAATGAGTGTAAACTTGTGCAATTTTGAATCAGGATATTGCACATATTTTGTACCCTTGCTATTTTTGCCCTTGCTCAGGATGTATAAGTCTATTTTACATAGTCTCAAAATTATTGAGTTTCTTAGTTAAGCTTGCAGTAAATATTTTTTTTTGCTGTATTTCAGAGCACATGGAGCAGCTACATGAGCTGGATGACAGAGGACCCATGCCCATTCGTTTTATGTTTAACCTCAGCAGCATCCCAGAGGACGAGCTTCTGTCTTCCGCAGAACTGAGGCTCTACCGTCATCAGATTGATGAGGCCATTGCTGATGCCATCTCAGACGACCAGGCACTTCACCGAATAAACGTGTACGAGGTGCTCAAAGCCCCCCGACCCGGGCAGCTTATCACACAGCTACTGGATACGCGGCTCGTGCGCCACAACGCGTCGCGCTGGGAGAGCTTTGACGTCAGCCCCGCCGTGCTGCGCTGGGCTCGTGAACGACTTCCCAATTACGGGCTGGCTGTGGAGGTTCTGCACCTCAACCAGACTCCACGCCACCAGGGCCGACACGTTCGCATTAGCCGCTCGCTGCACCAAGAGCCCGGTGAAGACTGGGAGCAGCTACGCCCCCTCCTGGTAACCTTTGGTCACGACGGAAAGGGTCATCCGCTGACTCGCCGGACCAAGCGCAGCCCGAGACAGCGGGGCCGTAAACGCAACCGCAACTGCCGGCGCCATGCGCTGTACGTGGACTTCAGCGATGTAGGCTGGAATGACTGGATAGTGGCGCCTCCTGGTTACCAGGCCTATTACTGCCACGGGGAATGCCCCTTTCCTCTGGCAGATCATCTGAATTCAACCAACCACGCCATTGTTCAGACACTGGTGAACTCTGTGAACAACAATATTCCCAAGGCCTGCTGTGTGCCAACAGAGCTCAGCGCGATCTCCATGCTCTACCTAGATGAACATGACAAGGTGGTCCTTAAAAACTACCAGGAAATGGTAGTGGAGGGCTGCGGCTGCCGCTAACGCACAGACGTACTAAAGTGCGGGCTTGGACTGCGGCACTGAAAAAAGCAACACGGGCGCTAACAAATCGGAAGGTCTTTACTCCCAAAAATGTTCACTTGGACCCTTATTTATAACTTTTATGAGATGTATGTTTGTCTCACTTTTTTTCTTTGACTATATCATATATTTTGACAAAATATATATTTATATCTACATATTAAAAATAAATAAATAAAAATAAATCCTTATTTTAAACATAAAAAAGCTGTACAACTTTTCATAATGTACATTAGATTGTATAAGGTTTTTTTTGTTTGTTTGTTTTGTTTTGTTGAAAAATAGTAAAAACTCTAAAAAGTAAAGTTTATTTACTGGTAATATTTATTGCTTTCATATTATATATAGAAAAAAATAAACAAAAATATGAATTGCTTCCAGTAACACATTCAGTAAAATCAAATGATGCATCCTTTGTGTATTTGCATAAATTAGAGCACTGAGTGAATTTGTTACAATGGTGAATTGTATTGGCTTTAATTAAGACGTTCGACATCAATCTGATTATTTTGAAAAGGCCCTCAAAACAAAATCATAAAGGTAAAAACGTCATTGTAAAGTATATGTAATAGAAACAAAAAGGAGTTAATAAAAACTACAATCTGACCTTAAATCTCCCATTACTTTTGTAATTTGGATTTAAACATGAGGCTGAAATTTCTCCCCGTGGCACGTTAATTGCGGTGTAATCACTTTTTACTAAAACAAAAGAGACGAGCACAGAAATCTCTCTGTTTTGTCTTTGCCAAATAAAAGAATGTTTGGCTTGTTATCTGGTATCTCGCCAGCTTTCAATGGATTGCAGCTCATCAAAGGAAGAGCAAAAACCAGCAGAAAAACTGCTTCTGCATCTTTTTAAAACAACATAGGAAGTTTTTTGTTGTTGTTTTGTTTTCTGAGAAGCAGTATGCCATTTAACAGGACATAGGAGATTAGGGTTAGGGCCTTATTGTTCTCAAATTTCACTTTAATGTCAATTAGGCTAACATGTGGTGGTTGGATACTTGCTAATCCAATTGCAGTCGAGATGGGTTGTTCAGACCAACTGCGTGAGAGTGATTCTATTGTTCCTGACATCCCCACATTGGGGGCATGATTGTGGCTGATGCGTCCTGCCCTCATACAAGGCGGCTGAGTCCTCAGAAGAATCAAAGGTTAGACACTCTGTCTCCTGCCTTTGTCTTCAGCGACTCATGCCGGCAGAGCAAAGACGCCTGTCTCCAACCTGTGCCCCATCACACAAAAGGCTTCTACATCACTTATTTACAAGCTGACAGCTGTCCCAAATTATGTGATAATGTTTAGGGAGAGCGTCTCCTTTGAACTGTTGGGGGGACGTTGGCTGTGCATTGTTGCCTAGACAGCGTCCTGTACATATTCGTCTCCGGCAAACCACTGCGCATTGTTTAAATGCCTAAAGAACAGTATAATTACATTTAAAGAGTTTTAATTTGATGGGTGTTTTTTTCTGAAATAACCTTTAAAAGCAACTTAAGCCACTAAACGATTGACAGAAAACACAAAAAAACAAAAGATGAATCAACTAAATTAGGTATGACGTTAATTCAGTTTTATTTAATGATAAAAGACAAGTTTGTTAGTTTTTACTACTGGAGCACGTGCAAGCCCTGAGGCACTCCAATTGCTGCTGGATGTCTCTTTGATGCTTGCATATCTGCCTCAAAAAGGGGTGACTCCTAAAGGAGTGGAGGACGTTGAAGAATTTAATTTTGAAGTGTCTGCAGGAGGACGGGAGGTATGTATGTGTGCGTGTTCATGTGTGTGTGTGTGACTTGGCAAAGAAGGGGGCTGGGGTTGTTTTTAGCAGCTTGACAGTACAATTACATCATTTCAACTGATCTCCCCCCTAAAGTTGAGATAACATCTGCTAGTTACGGTAATCACCTTGCCTGTTCATTATCTCCCTACCCTACACAAAGAGCATGCGTGTCTATTAAAAAGCCCAGAGCGAGTTGCATTTATGTAAGCTCGACAAACTTAGTGAGGCTAGCATTTTGGTTAACGTCAAGCAGGCCCTTAAAATGTGTATTTGGTGGAGGTGACTCAACCTTTACAGAACCTTCAGCAGCATCAAGTCCAAGAAGCTTCACTGAGTGCAGTCAGCCACATAGCAGTGAGGACTTCATGAGTGTGTGTTAGCATGAATGGAGGTGAAGGGTGTGGGGGTCAATTAAAGAACAAGTCCTTAAAAACAGATTGAGGCTTTTGTCATTCCTATGTGACGTACCCCGCCGCTTCCTGTAAGTACTCATTCTCACGCAATTACAGGTGAGTCATTATGCAGGAGGTCTATTGACACTGCGTGACTAATTGACTGGGTGAAGTCTTCAAAAAGCTTTTTATTTGGACATTCCACCGTAAAGTGAGCCGTGTGTTTACAGACAGCCAGCCCTCCCGCAGGAACAAAGGAAGATGATCCTTGCTTACATTGCCTTGCTATAGTGGGAGCACTCCATACCCCTATCTCTAAACCCCCCCCCCCCCCCCCCCCCAGTTACAAGATTTTAGAGACTTCAGTGTGTTTGACTGCATCTTTTAGACAAGTCATGTGACTCTGCTTTTAACAATCACCTCCCTTTGAGAGGACTAGGAAAGGACATAAAATTACTAGAACATTAACTTCTGTCCATTGGTGGAGAAACAAAAAGCTAGAAGTATTTTACAGTTTATATTTGTCTTGAGTCCCCATGCTGGCTGGGAAATTGATGCTAAATAACATGTCATGTCAAAAAAAGTCAGAACTACCCCACAGAGTTCTAACGCAGAATCTAGTCTGGCCTGTTTGACTTGCAGTCTCATACAATGATACATCTATACTACCTTTCTTTTTATCAAATGTTTCAGTGCCACAGTATTCTATTTTACTGTTATTTCACTTATATATTTATTATTTCACCGCTAACAGTCGAGTAGGCCTAGTTTACTGTGGCCATACTGATTTATAGTAGGTAACTGCAGCAGTAGTAAATGCTATATTTAGGCTGAGCCTTCATTAAGGTGATCAATATCAATTGTGTGTGACACCAAAATAGCTGTGATACAGGTAGTGCTCAAAAATTCAATATTCACTGTCAAATTACATAAAACATGCATTTAAAGAGCTACAAATACTCTACAAAACCGATTAAAATTTACTGTTTCAGATTCAATTAAAAATCTTCCATTCACACTAAAGCTATAAGCAAGTGTGGCAGAAATGTAACCACCGTGAAGAAAATACGATAGAAAAACCCCAAAAGATTTATTCTCTTCGCACCACAGCTAAGATCAATTTGCACTACACTGGCTCATGTTGCAGAATAAACTAAGAAACAAAGATTTCTAGAAGTCCGTTTAGCTCCGTTTATCCTTCATTTTGTACAGCCAACCATAGCTAATACTGTTATCGCTGGCATCCTTTATCTTTTTCCAGTTAAGAGACTTTCTAAAATGATCCAAATCAAGCATGAAAGTAGTTACTTGATTGGTAGTAAACTTGTCTAACAAAAAAATAAATAAAAGATACCTAAAATATCTGTTGTCTGTTAAGGTCAATTAAAACTACAATAACACAAAATAGATGAGAGAGAAAGGAGGTTTAATCTTTTGACTGTTGGATAGATTGTTAATCTATCCATTCACTACAGAGCCATGCATAATGGTTGCGATGCATAGTTGGCAAGTTTTGTAAGTTCAAAAGAGAACTTTTCAGAGCAAAACATTTCTGAGATTAGCTGGATAAACACTGTTGCTTCTGCATATCTTTGAAAATTCGTGCTGATTTAGCATTTTTCAAATATCACGTAAAAGCCTCGAACACCACAAAGACTTGCTCACCTCTGCTTTATTGAGGTATTGGCAGATGTTTGAACAGCGGAGATCTCCAAACAGCATCTAAAACCACAACTATCTGCAGGGTGAGCCAGACTACTAGGGACACAATATACAGTTATAAAATTATTTTTATGAAAAGTACTGCACAAAAAGGCTTTGTATATAAATGCTCTATAAAATGAAATTTTGGACTGGAAATATTAAATGAGTCCACATATTAAGGGACTCATTTACTGTGTGTGCTTATTCTGTTGTCCTGAATCAAGAGGGGCTATCATGGTGACAGCTCATGTCAGTGCTGCTCGAGGTCAGGGCCTCTTGTTACACCCTCTCACTCATACTTCCACACACGTGCATGGAAATGCACACATATTCTTTATACTCTCTTCAGGATATATCATTTTTACACAAAAGGGCACACAAACACACATTCAGGTTTGAAACTTTAGACCCTTCCCGCTGTCCATCTGTAGGGGTTATCTGTGTGACACCTCCTCTCACCCTGTCTGTGACTCATCTCCACTCATCACGCACACCTCTGTGCTGGCACATGGCAGCTGGGACACTCCATGGTGCATTAAAGGGGATAAGGCTGTCATCGGTGGAACAGTTTGACCTCGGGTCACTGGCACAAACGCATGCATGCACAGACGCATGATGAGTACGCTGGAGGTACTAACAGGTAACAGCAGAGGGATATTTTACTTGTTAGGGATCAGACTCAGGTGAGTAAGAACATTTAGGATAAAGAAAGGACATCTTTTGCTATGAAAAGATGTAAAGTAAATACATACATGTAAGCATACCTTCTTTTGAAGATTTGGCAACTCCAAAATTCAAGTGATCACTCCATTGAGGCTGTTAATGCCCTTGGTGTCTGTCAGTTGTTATGAGCAGAAAGAAAACAATGGAGCCTTCTCAAAGAAAGCTTAATACTATCTGCTGACTGTGTGATTAGAAAGAGAGTTGGATTTTTGCATCTTGACAACTGTTGCCAAACAAAGCACACAGGAATTGTGGGCCGGGGGGGGGGGCATGGAGCGTGGGTTCTCTGAGTTACACACTGACCCCTCAGCAGTCGTTTCTCTCACCAGCCTCTCGGCCTGGGAAGGGCCCACAGTGGAAATTTCCATTTGTCGAAGAAACAACACGCAGGTTTAAAATTTGGTGTCAAGTGCCAGTGTCGCTGTGCGGACGGAATGCTTCTTTTGTGGGCGAGTCTCTGGTGTAATTTCGGGCAGGGCAGGGTGTCCCGGCAGTAGGTCTTTCTTCCTGTGGCCCTGTGCAGTTTCATTAGATACGGCTAATGAAAAGATGGCTGGCCCCGCAGCCTGGCCCCCTGACACTCTTCTGGCCTGTATTTAGAGCTCCTGCCTTGCATCTCCAACTGAACAGGTGTGCTGGCTGGCCCTGCAGCGCTACACCAATGCGCCAAAAACACGTTTCATCCTCATCTGCTTGAGGCTTTGGA